GGTAGTGTCCATCCCTGGATGCATCATCCATGCAAGTTTGGTCCGGGTAGGGCTTATAGTTACTTGGGAATGGACCTGCTCCTAAAACTTTAACCTGGTCACTCATCCGGAAAATCTAGGTCAGATCCAGCATCCGAAGCAAGTGTGGTAGTGTCCATCCCTAGATGCATCATCCATGCAAGTTTGGTCCAGGTAGGGCTTATAGTTACTTGGGAATGGACCTGCTCCTAAAACTTTATCCTGGTCACTCATCTGGAAAATCTAGGTCAGATCCAGCATCCGAAGCAAGTGTGGTAGTGTCCATCCCTAGATGCATCATCCATGCAAGTTTGGTCCAGGTAGGGCTTACAGTTACTTGGGAATGGGACTTGCTCCTAAAACTTTAACCTGGGACGCCGACGCTAATGCCAACGCCGACACCGGGGGGATTGCATAAGCTCATTACAGATATTCTCCTATATATTCTAATGCTAATGTTTGATCTCTTGTGGCCCAAACCTACCATCAGGGGTCATGATCTGAACTGAAGTGAATCTATACTACCCAAGGATCCTTCCATATTAATATGACTAATATTATCACTTTGCTGTTATTAACTAGATTTTTCAGATGCATATTCATCTTTGATCAACCACTGTGGTCCAATCCTACTCCCTGGGGTCATGCTTTGAATAAATTTGAATCTAAACTACTAGAGGATGCTTCTGTATAAATGTAAATACTTATGAATTTGCTGTTCTTGAGGAGATTGTTTTTAAATACAGATGGCTAAACTATTCCTTAGAAGACTTTAATATTTTTCCCCTTTATTCCTAAGTAAAACTGGTCCCAGGGTCATGATCTAAATAAATTTTACTGTCATATATTATGAAGCTTTCAAACATTTCATATTATCTGTCCCAGTGCTTGTTGAGAAGTTTTTTTTTTAATTTGCCATTAAATTTTCACAATTTCTCAATTTCTATTAAAAGAGGACATGACCCTTCAATTGAACAAACTTAAATCCCCTTCACCCAAGAATGTTTTGACTTAAATGCTTTGACTGTGGCAAGTTTTAGAGCCTGATTACTGTTTGTTGTCTTGATATTTTATTAGCCCAGTTGTTCTTGAGCTGACATCAAATGTGGGAAGAGGAAACATGACAGACATTGAACACTCCTTGAACAGAAAAGGTAGCTTGAGCCCTTGGCTCAGGTGAGCTAGAAACAGACAAAAAGCTAAGCAAAACAAAAAAGATGGTTAAACATATATTTAATACTTGAATAGCTTTTATATTCATTAAATATTCTTACATTATAGATGCACATGAAAACAAGAGGCCCATGGGCCACATCGCTCACCTGAATACAATGGCTAGGAAAAAAGCACAAATCAATTCAGTATTGAAAAGTTTACAGGGGGGGGGGGGGCTTGAATTTTAAACTACCCGAGGATATTTCCATATCAATATAACGAATGGCTTTGCTGTTCTTAAGTAGAAGATTTTTAAAGATTTTTTCCTATATATTCCTTGGTAAAAATTTGATACCCCATTGTGGCCCCTCTCTACCCCCAGGGGTAATCAGTGGAACAAAATTTAATCTACACTACCCGATGATGCTTCCATATCAATATGACTAAACATGGCTTTGCTGTTCTTGAGACAAAGATTTTTTCCTTTATATTCTTATGTAAAACTTAGATCCCCCATTATGAACCCACCCTACCCCTGGGGGTCATGATTTAAACACACCTGAATCTACAATACCTGAGAATGCTTCCATTTCAATATGACTAAACATAGCGTTGCTGTTCTAGAGAAGAAGATTTTTAAAGTTTTTTCCTATATTTCTATGTAAAACTTTGATCCACCCTACCCCCAGGGGTCATGATTTGAACAAATTTGAATCTATACTACCTGAGGATGCTTACATATCAATATGACTAAACAAGGCTTTGCTGTTCTTGAGAAGATTTTTTTAAAAAAATTTCCTATTTATTCCTATGTAAAACTTTGAACCCCCATTGTGGCCCCACCCTAACCTCAGGGGTCATGATTTGAACAAACTTCAATCTACACTTTCTGAGGATGCTTCCATATCAATATGACTAGAAAGAGTTTGCTGTTCTTGAGAAGAAGATTTTTAAAAATTTTCCCTATATATTCCTATGTGAAACTTTGATCCCCCATTGTGGCCCCACCCTAACCCCAGGGGTCATGATTTGAAGAAACTCGAATCTACAATACCTGAGGATGCTTCCATATTAATATGACAAATCATGGCTTTCCTGTTCTTGAGAAGATTTTTTTTTTAGATATTTTCCTATATATTTCTATGTAAAACTTTGATCCCCCACTGTGGCCCCACCCAACCCCCGGGGGTCATGATTTGAACAAACTTGAATCTACAATACCTGAGGATGCTTCCATATCAATATAACAAATCATGGCTTTGCTGTTCTTGACAAGAAGATTTTTAAAGTTTTTTCCTATATATTCCTATAGAAAACTTTGATCCCCAATTGTGGCCCCACCCTACCCCCAAGTCCATGATTTAAACAAACTTGAATCTACAGTATATAACAAAGGTTGCCTATAAATTTCAACTTTTTTGGGCCATTGGTTCTGGAGAAGAAGATTTTTATAATATGCCACCAAATTTTCAC